CCCCCCCCCCCCGAAATTAACACACTGTTGTTCGTGTCCATGAGTTCTTTCTCTTTAGTGTCTATTTTTATAGACCTTTTTCTGTGTATGTATGTTACTCTGGGTGTGTATATACACATATATGTGCATGCATATTGAAAACTGAACTTATATGTGAAAGGTTACTCTATATATTGTTCTTTAATTTTATTCTTTTATTGAGTTTATCATGGCTACTGGCAATTGATCCAGATTCAACTCATTATTTTTAATGGATGTGTAGTATTCCATGTACCATAATTTATTTAAGCAATCCTCATAGATGGAGATTAGATTGATTTTTTTTTATTTATTACAAGTTATATACTTGTACAGGTATTGGATTGAGCTGTAGAGATGGAGTTTTTGGGCCAAAGTGCGTATGTATGTTGAATTGAAATTGCTTTCTAAAAGGTAATTTATATTTTTAGGAATAATGTATGGGAAAGCTTTTTGTCTTCATATCCTCACCACCTGGGGATTTATGAATCATACATATTTTGTGAAATTTATATGAAAAATTATCTCATGATTTTAATTTGCTTTTCCCTAATCATTGGAGAGATTGAGCAGCTTTTCATATATAAAAAGTATTTCTTTTGTGAATTATCTGCTTGTAACTCACTGTTCTTTCTAGTGAGCTTATATGTTGTTTTGTGTATTATACAGACTGTCAGTTATATGGCAAATATTTTTTTCTTTCTATTATTTACTCTTACTCGTATTTATGGTATATTTTGTTTTGACTAAATCAGTTTTTAAAATTTTTATATAGTTAAGTCTGTTATTACTTTATGGCTTTTATGACATGCTTAGGGATTCCTTCCCTACTGTAAGATTACAAAATAATAGCCTCAGTTTTCTTCTATTATTTTATATTTTTATTTTGTATTCATTATCTAGATTAAAAGATTATTTAGGATGAGTTGGCTTTCTGGGAGTCATTTTGTCTTTGTTAGGTCTTGATTGACTGGAGTAATTTTTTTTTTAGACACTTGTTCTTTATGCCCTTGGTGTGGTACTTCAAGATCCCAGTACTTGGCCATCACCATGCAAGTATGAAATATCTGTCACTGTCATTGTGATTATTGATTTATATGTGTTTTCATGTTTTGCATTTCTTTTCTAAATTTTGAGGAGAATTCATTATGTGACAATGATTCATTTATATCTTCTGCTTACTACGTTTTCTTTCATGAATCTGTTGTCTGCTACTCTTTTGTCTCTCCTATTACCACTTCTATCCCAAGATCTATTTAATTACTTGATCTCTACAACTATCCTTTAATTTCAGTGGAATTTTGGAATTCTTATTATTTTTTTAAAAATATATCTTTATTGATTTCAGAGAGAGGAAAGACGAGGGAGAGAGAGAGAGAGAAACATCAATGATGAGAGAGTCATTGATCAAGCCCACAACCTGGGCATGTGCCCTGACCGGGAGTCGAACCCTGATCGCCTGGATCCTAGGTCTATGCTCAACTGCTGAGCCACGCCCGGCCAGGCTGGAATTCATTTTTTGGTTAAGTGGTCTCAATTATTAAGTGCTTTAGTAAAATTCAGAAAATTGGTTTTGTATGTATAAGTGCTATGTGTGAGAATGGCGAGGGAGGGAGAAGATGAAGAACAGAGTTGCTTTTGTTTGCCTCCTAGATAGGCATCCAGTAAAATCTTAAGGAAATGGATTAGGATTTACTGCCCTGGAAGAAGGTTATATATTGAGTTGGTTAAGGGTAAAAGAGCTGTGTGAAAAGCAGTGGGGCAGGGCTGGTGGCATGGTTGAAGTCCTAGGAAACCTTCTTCTGGAGGATAAGGGTGGGACATATTAAGTGTTCCTATTATTTTAGTTTTTAATATTATAATGATATTAAAGGAAAGCTATTAAGTGAAATAGCAATCCTTCAAAATATGCTATAAGTAAAAATATAAGTAAATTTTATATTCCAAGTGGCTTTTATAGCAAAACTAAAGCTATGCATTGGTGGATCAGAAAATATAGGATGCAAATTGAAAAATAGTGAAAGGAATATATGCTAAAATGTAGAAATCATTTTTATGGATCAAATGTAATCAAATTTAGGAGATGTCAGTAGTGATGTTGTATGCTAAGGAAAAGCTTTCTGAAGTTGGGCACCTCCTTACCCATCTCTTTTGGAAAGTCCAGAGATTCTTTCTTTTCAGCACCTTGAGATGATTCTTGAGAGACAGTTCACACTAATGAAAATGTACAGAGGACTGAGATAGACCTTGTGGAGACAATTAATTAATTACAGTTTAAATATATTTGTCACACAGAGGAGAATGAAGAGATTGACTTTTTTTTACTAAACTTAATGTTCTTGAGGTCAGTGTGGATGTTGCATCTCTCTTTATGGCTGAGTAGTTTTCTCCTGTATGGCTCTACCAGAGTTTGTTCAACCTTTCACCCACTGAAGGACATTTGGGTTGTTTCTAGTATTTTGCTATTATGAATGAAGTTTCTATGATCATTTGTGTATAGGCTTTTTTGTGAACATAGGATTTCATTTCTTTGGGATAAATGCCCAAGAATATAATTGCTGAATTGTGTGGAAACTGCTAGGCTGTTCTTCAGAGATTCTCACCAGTTGTGTTTGAGAGGTTCAATTTCTCTGCAGCCTCAATAGCATTAACTATTGTCACTTTTTAATTTTAGTTCTAATAGGTATGTGGTGATAATTTTGTTGTGCTTTTTATACGTTTTCTTTTTGAGTAACTGACTTTAACTTATTCTCCTACAGAAAAATGTCTGGCTGTGCTTTATTTACAAAAATGCATAGATGTGCATTATTACTGTTACAATATTGGCAGTGTTTCAGAGCAAGAAACCCTGGGTCAAATTCTATGATTTAAATGGATAATAATGTCAGTATTACACTATACCAAATGATGAAATATTATCAACTTAAAAAACCAAACTAAAATAAAATTCTCATTTGAAAAGAATGAAGGCAAACATCAAAAACCCCAGTATGGACTGGGACAAGATGGTGACATAGCAGGCTCCTGAATTTCCCTCTTCCCCAGATATACTGAATGTGCAGCTATACATGAGCAATTCCTTCTCAGAGAAGTCCAGAAACTGAGTGACTTCTACACACTGGGCAAATGAGAAAATACCCACAATGAAACAAGTAGGACAGGCTGAGACACACTCTTGCTAAGTCCCACCCCAGCACAGAGCCATACAATTAGGAGGGAACCCCCCAACTCCCAGCTTTTGTCTGAGGGAAAGGGTTTGGACCATACATTTAGTGCCTCAACTTGGAAGACTCCCACCTATGAGAGATGGGCTCCCAAAGACCTGGCTCTGAAAGCCATCAGGGCTTGTGTTCATATGTCCCACAGGACTGTAGCAAACAGGCAAGCAGGGTTTTTTTGTGTTTTTTTTTTAACCACTATTTATTTATTTATTTGTTTTATTTTTATTGTTGGCATTATTACAGATGTTCCCATTTCCCCCCCTTGCCCTCCTCCACCCAGCCTCCAGCCCCCTTCCCACTGGCTGTCACCACCTGGGAGCTCCATGAGAGCACAAGCATTTAACCACTGTTACTTCAGGGCTTAGTGCAGAGGGCAAAGGCAGACGTCCATCTCCCAGTCTTTCCCTGGAAGGAGGCTGACTGCATACTTTACAGGCTGCTGCCTGAGAGTCCAGCTTCTAATTAGCATACATGTAGTTACTGGCGGTGATCTTCCCCCAAGCCTGAAGGAGCCAGTGGGCACCTTCTTCCTCTGGCCCACTCCAGCAGTAAGTAAAACTAAGTCGCCAGCATCTCCTTTGTGCTCACATACAGTTCATAGCTGCCATCTGAGGGTCATTCCCCAAATCACCTGGCTCTGATATCTACCGGGGTTTGTGTTCATGAGTCCCACAGTTCTACAGCAAACAAAGCAGCAGTTGTTAATGGGCATGCAGGTACTTGCTGAGTTTCGCCCCCAAGGTTCATGCAGAGGGAACAAACAGGCGAAATGGCCATCTCCCAGGCTTTCTCTGGAAGAGATTAGACTACATACCTTACAAGCTGCTGGCTGAGGGTCTCGCCTCTAATTACTACACATCTAGGTGCTGACTGTGATCTTCCCCCAGCTTGAAATAGCAGGTGGGCACTTCTGCTGCCTTCTTGCTCCAACAATAATGCCAACTTGTCAGTATCTCCCAGGAAGGAGCTTGTCACACTTCTAGCAGTCCAGCTTTTATGGCTGCCACCCGAGGGGGCCTCCATCGTCTAGCTGTGATAGTCATGAGTCCCACAAGACTATAGAAAACAAAGAAACAGTTTTTAAATGGGTACAGGAGGGTCCCCATTGCTGTACCCCTAGGTTCCACACAGAGAACAGACAAAAGTTCCTGTCTCCCAATTTCTCCTTGGAAGCAGTTTGACTGCATATTTTCTCAGCTGCTGCTTGACAGTCCAGAATCAGGCTGCATGTAGGTGCTGACTGTCACCTTTTCCTTTTAGACCCAGGATCTGGCACACCTTCAACTATTAGGAGCCACTAAAAACAAAGACAGCAACTTGCATAATCACAAAAGTGTGAAAGGCAATCAGGAGCTCAGGCTGTGCTAATTAATGGGGTTTATCTCCTACACAAGACTGCTGTCAAGACTGGAAGAGATCGTTATCTAAAGAGAAGAAATCAACACAGAGGGTCATGGAAATGAAAAACAAAGGAATATGTTCCAAACAATAGAGCAAGATAAATCTGCAGAAACTGATCTTAAGGAAATGGATATAAGTGATTGACACAATAGAGAATTCAATATAACAGTCATAATGATGCTCACAGAGGCCAGGAGAGCAATGCATGAACAAAGTGAGGATTTCAACAAAGACAGAAAATATTAAAAATACCAAACAATTATCAGTTCTCTGATGATTGGTGATGTTGAGCCTCTTTTGATATGTCTGTTGGCCATTTGTATGTACTCTTTGGAGAAGTGTCTAATAAGGTCCTCTGCCAATTTTTTAATTGGATTTTTTTTTTTTGGTGTTGAGTTTTATGAGTTCTTTATAAAGTTTGGATATTAACCCCTTCTCAGATGTATCATTGGCGAATATATTCTCCCATTTAGTACATTGTCTTTTTGTTCTGTTGGTTTGTACAAGACCTTTTTAGTTTGATGTAGTCCCCCATTTGCTTGTTTTTTCTTTTGTTTCCCTTGCCCAAGGAGATATATCAGAAAAAATATTGTTAAGAGAAATGTCAGATACTTTACTGTCTATGTTTTCTTCTAGGAGTTTTATGGTTTTGAGCCTTACATTTAAGTCTTTAATCCATTTTGAATTTATTCTTGTATGTGGTTAAAGAAGGTGGTGTAGCTTCATTTTTTTGCATGTATCTGTCCAGTTTTCCCAACACCATTTATTGAATAGGCTCTTTACCCCATTGGACGCTCTTGCCTCCTTTGTCAGATATTAATTCACCAAATAGGTGTGGGTTTATATCTGGGCTCTCTATTCTGTTCCATTGAGCTATATACCTGTTTTCATGCCAGTACCATGCTGTTTTGAATATTTGTACTGTAGTTAGATATCAGGTAGTATGATACCTCCACCTTAATTTTCTTTCTCATGATTGCTGTGGTTATTTGGGGTCTTTTGTGTTTCAATATAAATTTTTGGATCATTTGTTACAAGTTCTATGAAAAACAACATTGGTATTTTGATAGAAATTCTGTTTAATGTATAGATAACTTTGGGTAGTATGGACATTTTAATAATGTTTATTCTGCCCTGGCCATTGTGGTTCAGTTGGTTGGAGCATTGTCCCATATACCAAAAGGTGGCAGGTTCGAGTCCCGGTCAGGGCACATACCCAGGTTTTGGGTTTGATCCCCTGTTGGGGCACACGCAGGAGGCAACTGATTGATGTTTCTCTCTCACATCAATGTTTCTGTCTCCCCCTCTCTCTTTTTACTTCCTCTAAGATCAGTAATAATAATAATAATAATAATAATAATTTTTATTCTTCCTATTCATGGGCACAATATATGCTTCCACTTATTTGTATCTTCCGTAGTTTTTTTTCAATGTCTTATAATTTTCTGAGTACAGGTCTTTTACCTCCTTGGTTAAATTTATTCCTAGGTATTTTTGAATGCAGTTGTAAATGGGATTGCTTTTTAATTTCTCTTTCTGATAGTTTATTATTGGTGTATAAAAAGCAACTGATTTCTAAATATTTATTTTCTATCCTGCTATTTTAATGAATTCATTTATCAGTTCTAGTAGTTTTTTGGTGGAATCTTTAGGGTTCTCTATATACAGTATCATGTCATCTGTAAATAATGACAGGTTACTTCTTCCTTTCCAATTTGAATGCCTTTTATTTCCTCTTCTTGTCTTATTGCTGTGGCTAGGACTTCCAGCACTATGTTGAATAAGAGTGGTGAAAGTGGACATCCCTGTCTTGTTTTGTTCCTGATCTTAAGGGAAATGCTTTTAGATCCCTGTTGAGTATGATGTTGGCTGTGGATTTGTCATGTATGTCCTTTATCATGTTGAGGAGTGTTTCCTCTATTCCCACTTTGCTGAGAGTTTTTGTCCTAAATGGGTGCTGGATTTTGTTAAATGCTTTTTCTGCATCTGTTGATATGATATGAATTTTTTTTTTAAAGCCTCACCCCAGTATATGTTTTTTATTGATTTTAGAGAGAGAGGAAGGGAGAGAGAAACATCGATATGAGAGAGAAACATCAATCAGTTGCCTCCCTCTTGGACACACCCCAAATGGAGACTGAACCCACAGCCTCGGTATGTGCCCTGACCAGTAATTGAACCCACAACCTTTTGGTGTATGGGACAATGCTCCAATCAGCTGAGCCACCCACCTGTACATGATATGGTTTTTACCACTCATTTTGTTTATGTGGTGCATCACATTAATTCATTTGTGGATATTTAACCAGTTATGCATTCCAGGAATAAATCCCGCTTGATCATGGTGTATGATCTTTTTCATGTATTGCTGAATTCGGTATGCTAATACTTTGTTGAGGATTTTAGCATCTTTGTTCATTAGGGATATTGGCATATACTTTTTTTCTTTGTAGTATCTTTATCTGATTTTGGAATTAGGGTAACGCTGGACTCGTAAAATGAGCTTGGGAGTCTTCCCTCATCTTGAATTTTTTGGAATAGTTTGAGGATAGGTGTTAGTTCTTTAAATGTTTGGTAAAATTCACCAGTAAAGCCATCCTGTCTAGGACTTTTGTTTCTTGGGAGGTTTTTGATTACTGCTTCTATTTTGTTTATTGTAATCAGTCTATTCAGGTTTCGTTTCTTCTTGATTCAGTCTTGGAAGGTTTATGTTTCTAGAAATTTATCCATTTCTTCCAGATTGCCCAATTTGTTGGCATACAATTGTTCATAATATTGTCTTATAATCCTTTGTATTTCTGTGGTGTCAGTTGTTATTTCTCTTTCATTTTTTATTTTATTTATTAGGGTCTTCTCTCTTCTTGTTGATTCTGGTTAAATGTTTATCAATTTTGTTGATCTTTTCAAAGAAATACTTGTTTTTGAGATGAAATTTTATGCTCCATAATGGGTGGTTTATTTGTTTTGTTTTAATATATCCATTTTCTGCAGTTTTTTACAGGGTGAAATTCTGTACAAGTAAAAAAAAACCTTAGCTTCTTCATTTCCTTTACTTATTAGTAAGTCTTGGTGTAATATAATTGATGAATATAAGTTTAAGTATGATGTCTCCAATTTTAAGAAATAAATTTAATTGATGAGGCAATGTAGAATACCTTGCATATTGGTCACAGATATTTTGAACACTCTCAAATTTAAGTATTTATTATGTGATTTTATATGACTTATTCTTATATCTCATATAATGATGTAAACTTGTATTAAAATTTTATTCATTGTTGGTTCCAGAGAAATGTATTCTACATCTATCGTTTAGAATAATAAAATAAGCAGAAAGAGATGAAATATATATGTTGAATAATTTAGGAACATAATAATAGGTGAAATTTAAATATAATGTGATAACATTTTCTATTTTCAGTAGTTTTTAAATTTTATTACACACCTGTGTTCTTACAGTGTAAATATGTAAAAGGCCAATGGAGTTCTATTGTGATTAGCCCCAAACTTTCTTTTTTCTTTTAATTAAATATACTGGCATGACTTTTTAAAAAAATGCCAATCTCCTTTTTAGGTTTGACCCAGACCGGTTTGATGATGAGTCAATAATGAAAACTTTCTCCATGCTTGGATTCTCAGGCACACAGGAATGCCCAGAGTTGAGGTGAGATGATAAAGTGAAAGGAAAGGTTTCAGACTTTATACTAATAAAGTTGATGATCACTGTTGATGAGAATGAGCAATCTATATAATTAAAGTGTAATTTAATTAAAGTGTAATTTTTAATCTTTAGTAACTAATCAACTTTCTTCCTGACTAGGTTTGCATATATGGTGACCACAGTACTTCTGAGTGTATTGGTGAGGAGACTGCACCTACTTCCTGTGGAGGGACAAGTTATTGAAACTAAATATGAACTGGTAACATCCTCTAAGGAAGAAGCGTGGATCACTGTTTCAAAGAGATATTAAAGTTTTATACATTTAACTTTGTTGAGGAAAGTGGCCATTTAGAAAATTTATATTGAATCATTTTACAAAGCAAGTAACATTGTATAATATAAACACATATAAGTACTTTATTTAGTAAATTTGTATTTTTGTATATTAGATTTTCTTAATGGATGATATATATTTAGACTTACTCCATCAATATAGTGATAATATTAATGGTAAGTTTTCTATTTTTAATTTTTGTCATCACTTTCTATGCCATTATTTGTATATACTCTTCTTAGTTTAATCTCTAAAGTTAATATTCTTGAAAAGAGAAATTATTTTGCAGCATTTGGAGAATCCTGTTTTCTGAATATTCATAAAAGAGAAATATAAGCCTATTCTTTTTCCATAGTTCCAATAAATCACCTTAAAGGGGGAAGAGAGGATTTCTCATAATTTTATTTCTTGGATTAATATTTTTATTGTCTGAGCATAAATTAATTTGTGTTTAATCATTGTTATTATGCTTCATTACTCATTTGCTACTTTTATGCCTCCCCAGACGATAGTGTTCATTTCATGACTTACACAAGTCTCATCATTTTGAGTGTTCTGATCATTTGGGAAGTAATACAATGGTGTTTTCATGTGTCCTGTCTAAGTGACAAACGAAAATTAAGGCTTGTTTTCCTTCTGTTTTGCTGGAATTCTCCTTAACACTAAATTACTCCACTAATTCTCATTTGTGGAAAAAACAATTTCTAAATTTACTTATGTCATATACTTAACATAATGAATTTATGATTAAGAAATGAGAGAGCATTAATCAAAAACCAAAACCAAATTAAAAAGAAAACAAAGATAGGCTAAAATAATTGCAAAATGTATGACAGAAATGGATAATAACTTATAAAGTGTTCATTCAGATTGGTAAGAAAACATACAAGTGATAAACAGATAAAAGATATGAATAGCAGCTTTTACAGGAGGGAATAGCTAATAAACTTTTAGAAATGGTCATTCTCACTAGTAAGTAAAGAAATATTGGTGCTATTTCAAACACATTAACATTTTAACACTTACACTTTAGTGCTGATAAGTTTTATGTTGAATACTTTTTTATTGATAGTATTGTATTTCAGTCCACTTTTTTTGGTTATGCTGTTCTTAAAGACTTTTTTTAAACACATCTTTCAAAGACAATAACTGAAGGAAATATGCCAAGTGCAGATAGAGAGGAAAGGAAGAAAAATGAAAAATGTTGCAGGTGAGCTTATTTTTTACACTTCTGAATTTCGTTTGTAAATTTAGTTTCAAGAATGTACTTTAGTTGGTAATTATTATTTTATGCTGTGTTTATGGTTAAGTAGCTAACATTTAGACCTAGTTATGGGTGGTTAACTTAGAATTTAATTAGATGCAGGCTCTATTTCTGACAAAATATTTAACATACAGAATAATTTAAATTTTAAAACTTTAAATCAAATGTATTCATAGTTCCTAGCATCATGTTGTTTCTAAAAAGATATATTTCAAAATAATTTGTTAAATTTATTCCCACCCCACCTATCATTTTCTATGGTTTTGTGTAGTTAGCACATCTCCCTTTGTTGTCCAGGTACTTTAATTGGTTTGGAAACTGGCAGTAAAAGGTAAGAGTGGGCAATCAAAATGTAAACCAAGTGTCAGTAAAATCAGATGAGGTAAGTGGAATTTTAAAGTGAGACCAATCAGCAGTGATCACAGCAAAAACAGCAATTGAGCCAGGGTCAGGGAGTTGGCATATTGCCAATAAATGAGGCACTGTATAATTACTAATAATGATTGGAATCAAGGAAAATAGAGGCCAGAAGAGTCAGCTAACTAAGCATATTTTATTCATAGTTACATGACTAACTTAAAACATTTAAAAAATCATCTTCAAAAAAATTAAAAAATTTAAAACACTGTTAATCATGTATAAAATAAGTTGTCATTCACTGTTGTTCTTACTTGGTCTTTTGTATTTATCAAATGACTGAGATTTTAGTAGCTACAGTGTCACCGAGGGCTTGTAGCATAACTCTAGCAGAACCCTTACTTAAGTTTTGTAGCTTTTTGGGTTTTTAAAAAACTATTGGTTCACTGTGATCTGCATTCTTTTTGATAGTTCAGAAGTTTATCTTTAAAAACATCAGTACAACACATTTTTATGGAATGAAAAGGCTCTTCCACACTTTGTGCTCATAAAATGCAAGGCAGAATTAGTTCTGTGCATGTGTTTGGGAAAAATGAGAAACTCACATGGTGTTTATTTGGCCCACAAATGTGCAGTTTTATTTATTTTTTTAATAAATAGGTTCTATTTTATTTATAATCCCTATGTCAAAATGTATTTGTTTTCTTTACCTTAAAATAGTTTCTATTTTAAAAACAAAATGTTCTGTTTTTTAATTTATGAAAATTATATAGGTTCATTGTAGAAAAATCTAAAACATACAGAAACACAAAAATAGCAGACTCAGTCAGTGATATTCCCATCACTTAAGGATAGCCAGTGTTAAGCTTTTTATCCACATATTTTTACAGACATATATGGCATTCTCTTCGTTTAGTATATTGAGAACAGTAGCATTTTCTACAGCTGGGACATCAGTTGTCTTCTTGCACAGAATGTAAGCACAGATTTTTGGCATTCTTTTCTTTTTCCCTTCTCGGATATTCTTTTTATTCTTTTCAACTTAAAAAATATCCTTACGTCTTCATTCTAACAATACAGTTATATATTTGTATATCTAAGTTGCTAAAGTCATAGAACAATGTAAAATGAACAGTTGTTCATAGAACAAAAAAAAATGAAATTATTATCCTAAGGAAAATCTTCAGTATAATTAAGTTCAAATGAGATGGCATTTCAACTTTTAAGAGGAAATCTTAAGAATCTTTGTTATTGTTTTTGTACTCTGGGGCAAACAGATTAAGATTCTCCTCTGAAAACATCTTTATTTTTTATCCAGATCCATAAAAAAACATTGTTAACCTATAATTTTTTTCACATGTGATTATGTTGACATATTGAAAACTGCTTAAAAACACAATTCTACCGTGTGTCAAACTGAGGACATGACCAGTAGCAGCATCCAGGAGTTTAGTAGCTGTGAGAAGTGGACACTATTTGAAGGGCAGGTTTTTATAATGTCAGCGAATTGATACCAGTGGCCTTATTTTTCTTCTTAGCCAGTTCTCTGCCTGTTTCCTGTTACTAAGACCAATGGCTGAGGGAGAAGGGGAGGCGTTAGAAGGGAGGGCATGACAACAAAGCAGTTACTGTTACAACAGAAGTCAGAGGAAATCAGCACAGCCAAAAAGGCTTAATACAGTGTTGCTTTGAACCGTTGTGAGTGACCTGTAGTGATAAAAAGGAGTGAGACTGAAACTTGCAGTAATAATTAAGCTGAAAGGAGAATAGGACTGGAAGGGCATTTGTTAGAACCAAATACTTTATATACCTATCTCATTTAATCCTTAGGGCATAACAGTAGGTTCAGTGACAAACTAAACTAGTTTTTTCATTCCTGCTAGAAGAAATACTGTAAATGAAGATAGGTAAATACTAGCTAAGAAACAGTATCTTAATATCTTCACATGGGGTTTATTGGTATATTTGTTCTTATTTAAAAGGGAATCAAGCAGTAGTTTCAAATGATGTAGTATTCATAATAGCTAAAGAAAATTATTAAGCCCTGGTGGGGTAGCTTAGTAGGTTAAAGCATCATCCCAATATGCTGGGGTGTGGGTTCGAACACCACCCAAGGGCACATACAAGAATCAGCCAATGAGTGCATGGATGGCTGGAACAACAAAGTGATGTTTCTAATTCTTTCTCCCCCTCCCTTCTCCCTTCTTCTCTCTCTCTCTCTCTCTCTGCTCAATAAATGAATAAAAAAATTTTTTTAAAAAAAGAAAATGGTTAAAAGAGTACTGTAACAACAATATTAAAATAAATCTTTAAGCCCGGCCAGGCGTGGCTCAGCAGTTGAGCATTGACCTATGATTCAGGAGATCGCAGTTTGATTCCCGGTCAGGGCACATGCCCCGGTTGTGGGCTCAATTCCCAGTCAGGGCGTGCAGGAGGCAGCCGATCAGTGACTCTCTCATCATTGATGTTTCTGTCTCTCTCCCTTCCTCTTTCTGATATCAATAAAAATATATTTAAAAAAGTTTTTTTAATCATTCAAAAGTAAACTAATGCTGCCAACTCAACCAACTATACAACTGTTTAAATTTTTTCCAGTTTACACATACATATTTTTACCTATTGCAATGATAACAATATAGTTTACTTTTCACTTAATGAATTTTAAATATTTTCCTTTGTTACTTTTTTGCAAGGGCTTCAGGGAATAGATTTTTTTTAGGGGGGTGAATAGACTTTTAAGATAGAAATCATTTTGTTTGATTTATAGAGTTTTATGAATGGATAATTGTAAAATTCGAGTTGGGAGTCATTTTGTGAAACATCTAGGCAATAAACAAAAGGCAGAAAATCACATTCCTTCTTCCAGTAGCACTTCCCAGTTAGTCGGTTTATAGTTTGGCAGCTGTCTTTCTAGAGATTGGGAATGGATCTTGTTAGAACATGTGATAAAATGCCATGAGCAAATAAGTCACAAATATATCCAGTTGAGTAATTTTGAAATGACATTTATTTACATCTAAAATACTTACAAATTCATGTTTTATTTTTAACAAGTGATAGTGAATGAAACTGTGCTACTTCACCATTGTAACTATGTATCATAGATTGTAAAGTGCCTATCTCCAAAAGGACAATATTTTTGAATAAATGAATGAAATCTTCATTGAGGTTTTCTGTGAATGTAGACTAAATTAAAAAAAAAATTATTGATTTGAGAGCACTAGAAACATCAATTTGTTGTTTCACTTATTTATGCATTCTTTGGTTGATTCTTGTATGTACCCTGACCAGAGATCCAACCCACAATCTTGGCATAGTGGGACGACACTCTAATCAACTGAGCTATCCAGCCAGGGGAAATAATTGGAATTACTAAATAGTTGAACGATTTCCAGATAGCCAAACCATCTCTAATGCTAATATTACTTTGTGATATGCTAAGTACCTCATTACTGGAAGTATTTAAGATGTTGTTGTGGACACCATTCAGTGATCCCTGTATTAGGTGTGAACATGGGTTTATAATAGATTGTAGTTACATAAAATATCAACCCAAATAATTGGTAAGCAAGTACTTCTTTGTTTCTTCTATATCATCATTATCGTCATTAAACCAGGAAATGTTAAGGATCAATTTATCTTTATTGTTGAGAGTATTACAGATGTCCCTCATTTTTCCTCTATTATCCCCCTTTACCCGGCTCCTGTGAGAGCATTATTTCCCAGTGTGTCTCATCGAACACTATCCTGTGAGACAGCCTGGGAAAGAGATTCCTGGTCATATTCATTCATACTCAGATTCTCCATACTAAGTTCTTTTTCAGATATATATAATACATATTAATATATTTGTAGTGCTAGAAGTTCTAGTGTAAAGAAACCTATTTTAACTTGGTTTAACACTTAGTGTTCCAAGTGTATTTGATGAAGGTACTCCTTTTTCTAGGCATAGCTATTACCCTATAAAACCAGTGTTTCGTGGAAGTAGTGTTCTAGAGCAGCGATTTCCGACAAGTGTGTCCCAAGAATTTTTAAAATGTGCAATACCTAACTAGTTAGGGGCACTGACCTCTTTTCCCTTAGATTGCCAAATGAAAAAATGGCAATAGCCAACACAATAGCCACCTGGTGGGAATGAATCAAAATTATACCTATCTTTTTGTCAGATAGGCAAAAAAATATAGTTTTGGTGTGCTGCAGAATTTTAGTACTTAGTTTATGTATGTGCCATGAAATGAAAAAGTTTGAAACTCGCTGTTCTAGGGAATAGAACCCATTTTGTCTAACATGATCTAGAGACAAATAGGAATCTGAAGGAACATCTGTCCTAGCTGGTTCCTTCAACTGCACATTGTCCAGAGATTCTCTAGACTAGGAATGACCATAGTCTTAGAACCAAACCAGTCCATATTCTCTCGCTCCCTTACCTCCACCTGTTGTCTCTGCCAGGGCACAGCGCCCTCTAGCTCTACTGACTCTTCCCTGTTCCCGTCCTGACTTCCATTCCTATCCGAAGAAATGAGACCTATTTAGTCCAGCAGCAGGTTGTGTGTGTGTTTTTGTTTTTTGAGCACTTAGTGCAAGTCATATCTTATGCTGGGCACGGGATATAGCAGTGAACAAAACAGACATGACATTATGGTGTTTTCTCCTGTGCTTCACCAGGAGGGAGAAGCCAAAATCCTCATGTCCCAAAGCTTAATAGCACTCAGAGAGCTCTGTAGGTCCAGGGTTTGGGGTTTGGAGGCAGCTCAATTACCCCTTTAGGTTGGTGGCCAAAAAGGAAGTAACTTGTAGTTGACAAAGAACACAAAGGCTTCTGTTAGAGGCTGTAGTGGGGGAAGAAGCAGAAGGAACTGTTAGGAGTCAAACCATTATTTTTGTTATTTTTACTGCAAGAGAACTAAACAATGTCAAGGAAAACTGTTAACACTGATGCTAAATAGGAATATTGGAGAACTTTCAGACTGAGAAGAAATAAAGCTAAGAATTGGTTAAAGAGCAATATTTATTACATTCATTGGTGTGAATTGTTTAATTATACAGCAGCACTTGGTGTGTTCAACTTTCATGATTTGTCCCTTGTGTTGGCAAGATCATCAGCTAATAGATAACTGATTTTTTGAGCTTAAAAGGATCTTGTAAAGATTATATGGCATAGCCTGCTCACAATCTAAAAATTTAGAGGGAGAAGCCTACGACTTCTGGGAGTAGTAACTTTATTAGGCTTTCGCTTTGGATTTTTTTCATATCCTTTTGAAAATATGTGGTTAAGTCTATGCTGCTGTTACATTTATAGAATTTTGTTAAGCTTTCAAGAAGGTATAGATTCAGAAGGAATTGAGGAATTTAAATATGTATATATTCTTGATACAGGACCTTTGAGGGAGATGCAAATGTATTTTGAATGTTTAATTTACTTTGGTTCAAAAATACATATCTTCGAGCAAAGTTGCCATGACAACCCTTCTTAATGTGTGTATAAATTTTATGTCTGTCTCTCTGAGGTTTT